TGACGGAAAAAGCGCGGAGTGTGTCACACAAGACAGGGTCCTAACACACTAGGAATGTATATATATAATTTATGACCCACACCTTCCCCACATCCCAGACTTTTCCACGATAGATGAGGTCAGACACCGTGAGGTCAAAGATGGCCAACTCTTCTGCGGCGTTCTTTGTTTAAAATGGGCCCCCTCGCCTCACCGAGTAAGTCACCCAAACTTTCAAGAGACTGGTTGCCCCTTGTTGCAGGTTGTGTGGGAATATTCCATCTCAATCATCTAACACCATCCAAAACCTCCAGAAGACTTCTTACTCCAGAGGCTATGCAGAAAATACTGTACTGTATGCATTTCCACGCGCAGAGACTAGCAGATCCATCGGCATCTTTCCTGAGCAAGGCTCCACAGATTGCAGCTATAACGACATTGGCACAGGGGAGGCCAGGGAAGTTGCTTGGGGTGGGTGTGTAGGTAGAGGTATACATAGGCAAGATAGATACAATTGAGGCAGATGGGCAAAATATATGCTTGACAAATATATACATATATACATACAGATATAGGTGATCCTCATTGATGCACATCAACGTTCCAGTTTGGAATTGTGGTGTGTAGAGTTTTGGTTGGCTTCGTAAGTGGTCAGTGAAGATATGACTGCCACAAGGCCCAGGTGGTTGCACTTGGTGATGCAATGAGTTCTGGACAAGTAGATCTGTCGTTGATACCCGGTGGTACGGTAGCCTCCAGGTGAATGGTTTTGGGGATGGTCAGAGTTCCCTGGGCCCCTAGCTTCCATCCCATGTCTTCATATTACTTTCATTCTTCTATGGACATTGATTTCAATCCTTAATTCGAGTCTCTTTTTTGATTCATGTGCATGTCGCGATTCTGAATCTGGGTGCTAAGCACCACTAAAGATACAGTACTTCACAAACGGCAACTCTGTTTCGAAACGGCTTGGCCCTCGGAGTCGCCCTGGCTTCGTGACTGCCCTCGATTTCATGGGGTCCTGTGAGGCAATGGCAGTTTTGCCTGGCTTCGTTGCCGGTGACCAGCGTTGCTCAAGGCTCTGCAGTGGCCGTTCTGGTTGGTGGAGTGTCCAGGCGAGACGTCCCGGCCGGGGCTTCTGAATTTGCGGCCGGGGTGGTGTGTGTGTGTGTGTGTCAACCCCTGTGCCTAAGGGTTTGGATTCACCTCATGCAGGGGCGTGCAGCATCTGTGGTCCACTGCACGCAACGAAGCTACGACCACAGATGGGAAGGGATCAAGGACGCTTGATCCTGTACCTGCCCAAACTTTTGACCAAGCTGTTACTCCACTTTTCCACTTTTTGCTTCCATGGTTCTTGCATGATACTTCCCCAAAACCCCGGTTTCTGCCGCTGAGTTGCACCGCTCGTTCGCCACCGCTGAGCTCTGCAGTCACACACCAACAACTTGTTCAACATTCAAGTGAACTGACTTTCTCGCCATACCGTTCCCTCACCATTTTCGACCTGGGAACTAATACAATTGTCAGAGTGTGTTTCGCTCAGCCGTCCCACTCGGGTGCTGAGTGTGATCCCCGTCACTGGGGCGCCGTTTCATTGGGAAAGCATTAACCGAACTCACCACCGCTCACAGGAACTCCACTGGAATTCACCTACACTTCCACTGAATTAACTGCCTCAACGGCCGCCGGGCCAAAACACGGGACTCCATAGCCGCCGGGCTTTAAAACGGTACTCCACCCACAGTCAGGCAGGTTTCCCAACCCCCCCCCAGCCGAGTTCTACTCCCCACCTAATTAGGGCAACATAGGGAAATGGTACTCGACGCACTTGTGTGTCGGTGCCTTTCCCTGTGTTGTTCCTGTTCTAGTCTTCTCTACCCGGGCGGTCTAAGACTAAAGCCCCGCTCCCTAACTACTGCACTTAATTATTTTCGGCTAAGTAATCAGTAACTCTAGAGTGCTAGGTAGTCAGACACACACATGTACACACACATGAACATACATCCCCTCCCTGCCCCCCCACTTTTCTTGTTGCGCTTTCCGTCGTTTGCAGGGCTACCTCAGGGGCTTTTTAGGTTGCTCTTCAGGCTCGTTTCCCTACCCCAGTCAAGGGCTAAGTATTCATTTTTTCTACAGTTATCTTTCTTTCTTGCCCTCTTAGCGCTGCTCTTTCTGTCTTTCCTTTCTTTTGTTTCTAAGGCTTTTTAGGTGACTATCTTACGTTTTATGGCAGAAGGCCACAAAGCGGCGGAGTGTGTGTACCTAAGAATTTTCCTTGTTTGATTCCAGCAGGGGCGCCGATCACGGCGATCTGTGTGTGTGTCAACCCCTGTGCCTAAGGGTTTGGATCCACCTCATGCAGGTGCAGCATCTGTGGTCCACTGCACGCAACGAAGCTACGACCACAGATGGGAAGGGATCAAGGACGCTTGATCCTGTACCTGCCCAAACTTTTGACCAAGCTGTTACTCCACTTTTCCACTTTTTGCTTCCATGGTTCTTGCATGATACTTCCCCAAAACCCCGGTTTCTGCCGCTGAGTTGCACCGCTCGTTCGCCGCCGCTGAGCTCTGCAGTCACGCACCAACAACTTGTTCAACATTCAAGTGAACTGACTTTCTCGCCATACCGTTCCCTCACCATTTTCGACCTGGGAACTGAGTGTAACTGAATACAATTGTCAGAGTGTGTGTTTCTTTTTGTCCGATTGGCAGTGCCAGGGTCAAACACAACCACGTTATAGAAATTATTCATAATTATTCTACATTGATGGTGTTTTACATTGTTCTGCATTGACTTCTTTGACTTCCTGATTGCACGGCGTCTCATGAAGAACTGGTATGAGTTCTGGGATTGCACTGACTTTTGCGGCCGGGTGTGTGGGTCATTCTAGAAATGGATCAATGCTGGGATTGTGATTGTTTGTTCAAATCCTGTAGCAATCGTATGCGGAAGGTCCGGAAGGTGTGTTCTGTCATATCAAACTATATAATTCTATCAATTTGGCTTTGCCTGCCTCATGTGGCAAACGTCCTTGCGGGGGGCATGTGTGTATGCATTGCAAGCTGTCATTAAGAAGTTGTTATGACTGTGCACAGCCACCGCGTAGCAGCACGACGTTCGACTGCCTACAGCGCAGGTGCAGAGTAGATTGAACATGTTTGGACCGGATATTCCGAGCCTTCGGATCACTGACTCAAATGAAGGCATCTTGGAGCGCCAACCTGTGATTGCCCACAGGACTCTTTTATGATATTGGGGGAATCATATGGGGAATTGGTATTCGTTCACAGTACTTGTCACGATGCACTTGGGTCATTGGCCTCATTGGCCATGGCGGGACCTCGTTCGGTGGGTGGGTGAGAGGTCCCAGCCGCCGTGGGTGAGCTAGGTGTGATCGACCTGTGATCGCGCAGCTTCTGGATGAGTTGAACGGCCAGATGGTGAGAAACCTTCAGCCGATCTTCTTGCCAATGCGGTCGATGCACGGAAAATTGGTTCGCTTGGGGAGGGCGGGCACTTGAGTAGTATTTTGAAAGTGGAAAACAATTACCGTAACAAACAACAATTCTCTTTTGGAGCTTTGCGAGCGGTTGATTGATGCAAACGAGATCCAACATACAAGATACACATGTCCCGAGACGCCCCGCCAACTGGCCAGAAATATGAACCCTCCCTTAGTGAAAACCCGGATCGACCCCGGCTCGCCTGCTTCTGGCTCGGTACAGTGGTCCCGGTCCGCCGATCCGGGTTGACAGGCGAGGAAAGGGTGACAGGCGTATCCAACAAGCAGTGAAGATAGTGAAGTGGAGCATGGTAGATGAGCCTTGAGAAGTCCAAAATACAATCAAAGGGTGTTGAATGGTTGTTCTGGGCCCCTCACCTGCCCAGTGTGCGACAGCAAGATAAAGTATCGTGTGAATAGTCGGCAGGATGAAGTGAATTCCGTCCCCCTCCAAACCGTAAGCATAGTTGGACATGCAAATGAACACCCCACGAGACCACTCTGCGTTTTCCAATCCAAGGGAGTGATGGGAGTACGACGGACGATTCATGCTCTCAATGATGCCAGGATCATGCTCTTCTTGAGAAGAGCACGCTTCAGTTTGGCCCTCAGATGAGTACATACAGTAGCACATAGTAGTACCATTGCAAGTGCGTCAGCTAGATTTGGCCATGAGGTTGCTAGGAGTTGCCTGCTGTGAGATACCCGGGATGTGTCTCAAATCCTGCCTGTAGGCTGTAGGCCTGTCTGGGCATTTTGGACTATCCCTAAGCCCAGCCGCCCTCGGTTCACGTTGCACATCTTCGTCCTCACATGTCTGGTGAATATCAACGGCAGGTGGTGCTGTGTGAGGAAGAGTGCTCTCCTTGATAACACACTCTTCAGCACACCATTTCTGTTAAACGCGGAGGTCGTCCCCAGATCTTCCGCAGAGTACGGGTCCCCAGATCTTAGGAACAGTTTCGCAACGAAGACATTACCGATCTACCAGATTTTAGAATTTTGCGGTGTTTTCAGTCCTTCTAGCAAGTGATAGAAAGATTGGTCAAGTCAACCTGGGCTGTTTTAGTCACTTGGTGGTGCAAGCTATGCTACTTGTTTAGTGTTGAAACATTTGCATTTGGTCAGCGGTCAAGTAATGCCATACTATGCCACACTGACAACACTGGATGTCATGGTGCATGGGCACGGGGCATGTTTGATTTATTTATATCTATGTTTAACTTTTTGTACTTAGAGAGCAGTAGAGAGCGGCTGCTAAAATTGCAGGCTTGGGAAGCATTCTGTTTTGGCGCTAGGCGAACTAGCCTAAACGGTGCGAACGAAGCAACTCAAATCACCATCCCGCCAGCCTATGCATGCAACTTTGCACTAGGCTTTTGCTGGAGTTGCTGACCGACCAGCACTCCGTATCACGTCTGGGCCTTGATCAGAAATACGTCCAAGCGACGCGGTCTTTCAGGCACAAGATGGTGTACAACGAATATCAACGAACGAAACGAGTAACGTCCCGACGTGTCCAAGTGTTTGCTTATCCCTTGGGTCCTAGTGGAGCAGTCCTCCTCCGTCAGCTGGCTGTAGATGGGGAACTGGGCAATTACAAGTATCTCAAAACTTAGTGGACATTTCCAGATCAAACCAGTGCTGAAAATCAGGCGGGGACGTGTTGCTGTCCTGACAGTGTGTGGGATAGGACGGCCGGCTTCGCGGACACTGTCCATGCCACTGTTTTGTCGTCCATCTCTCCATTGCATTTGAAGATACCGGTAAGAGAAGACAAGAAGAATTCAACAAAAAGCAAATAGCACAAAAAAAGAACGAACACCAGAAGAACAGACTAGATGAGTCGCAAAAAGGAAGACATCGATGCCGAAGGAGGGACCATCCTGGTGAAGGCTGAAGTGCACAAGTGGCTTTGGGACTGCGGGGAGACTGCAAGATAGATGACTAGAGGAGTTGAAAGTATGCAATGGCACATTTGGCTTTGATTCCTCAAAGCACATGCACTACCTTGGACTTGATAGAAACTTCAGGATGAACGCCTCCCCATCAATGAAAAAGCATGCCTTTGCAGATGGCAGCGTCCATCAGTGCCGACAGATCTTGGGTCACTGGCTTTGGAGAGGGCCCTGCAGGAGGAGTTGCGCGAAGCAGCGCAGCCCAACCTCGCAAAAGAGTGCCTCGGCCAAGTTCGATGGGATGCAGATGGGATGTGCTGCAGTGATTTGATGTCAAGAACTGCAAAGTGCAATCACCTTACCTGCAGTTTGTTCAGGTGTGCCCAATTCAACCACCTTTTAGAATCTTTTAGATTTGTTGTGGGATGTTTGGGTTGTTTCTCCAGATGTTTGCTGCACCTCCTTAGAGGCATAAAATAACCAGGCAGTCTACAAGCCAAGGATGAACCCCTTGACCGAACGCATCCGTTGTCATCCAGCCTCACCGACCCGTGTGCTCCGTGTTTTCAATCAGGCGGGAAGCCAGGGCGGTGGAAGACGCGCGCCGGCGCCAAGAAGAGGTGGACATTTGGGTGGATGTACATGCGTCAGTCTGAAGGGAAATGAGCCGGAATGAGAAATGAACATAGTATTATATATATAAGTATGTTTTCATGGTTGCTGTTTTTGCAAATGTTCTTGGTAGTTTGGGAATGCCTGTTGGTTGGGCAAGCCTTGTGGGGCAGGTGAGGACCATGCCTCGTATATTACTTCATTTGTTTTTGGCCCACATATTCACGCCTGTGTGTGCGCCTGGCTCCGACACTTTTCACTGAGGGGAGATTCCATACAATAGGATATTGATAGTACATATTACACATGCACAGTGTTGACATGGTCGGGTAGAGGATACTCTGGATAGTGAGCCCCTAGATTGCCAGTGTTTGGCAGACTGTGCGGTCTGACTGGACGGATGTCATTGTATTCGGTAACTAACAGGTGCTTCAGCCCATCAAGCTGTTTTGCCCTGAAGTCTTGGCGGATTTTTTGAGGTGTGGAACCACATACCGTATATTGAACTGCCCTCAATTAAGAAAAGAAGCCGGCGCAGCAGACGGCAGAGGACCATTTGATCTTGGCCTGGAGGCCCTAAGTGTGCAACAAATTGACCGTTTTCGCACTTCCAGTAACTGCAAACCTCAAACCTTGGATTAAAGATCCAAAACCACAGTTCCAGAGCTATCATGGACCATCATGGGCCATGGACATCCCAAAACGTTCCGCTGAGTCGGGCGCACGGCCTGGGCAGGTCAAAAGGCTTCGAAGTGAGGTGCAAAGGGGCCGCTAACAGCAGGTGTCCAAAAGCCAAAAATCCAAGATGATTGATTTATATTAATGTATTGTCATGGGTTCTGGTTCATCTCGCTGGTACATCAGCCCAATTGTTTTTTGGGTGCTTTTTGGGTACCATTCACCGGAAGAGGACTAACCATTCACCGGGAGAAATAACACGCGGTGGTTTTTGTGACGCATCGTCGTTAATAAGCATTTACCCAAAGGATTGTTCAATATGAGAGTTCTCGACCAGTTCTGAACACAGGGATCCGATGACATGTCTAATTAATTACTAGTGCATGGTGTTCCGTTCAGAACGCAAGCGAGGCGTCAATATGGCGGTTGCTCCAACTTGCCTTCCTGATGCTGCCCTTAGCAATTTATTGGCCGGCCTGTGTCCAAGCGTCCAATTTTTGCGCTCAGACGTCGGACAGACGGACAGATCTTCTTCGGAAGACACAAACGTCGGTGTGTGGCATCTTGTGGCCTAAGGTCTGGTTTATGGACCCCATTACTTTTTGGAATTGGGTCTCTGTCCTTCTGGCGAGCTTCTGAATTCGGGAATGATACAATTGGCATTGATGAGAGGCAGTGGAGCAACCCTGGTCCTTACCCTTGAAGGTGCCCTTGAAGGTGACAGAGTCAAACGGCAGAACCATTGGTTGTTGTGTCGGCCCAGGGATGGCACTTGCCATCTCCAGGGTGTGATACCACTTTAGACCATCACTTGAGGCTCCCAAAGGGGTGTGCTGTGCCCTTTCTTCGAGTGGGGCCCACATGGCAGGCGCGGATCGATAGCTGCGGGCCTTGCTTCATCAAGCGGCGGCCCCAGTGGGTTTGATGCGTGAGCCTCACACCGAAGTTGCACTGACAAGCAGGACAGTGGAGCGAAAAACCGAAGGATTCGGTTCCAACAACATGGTTTTAATGTGCTTTCAGCTTTAGCTGTAGCTTACAACATGGCGTCCTGCCAAGCTGGCCGATGGAATCTCAGCTTTTGCAGGGGTTTTGGGGTGAAACTTTTGAATTGCAATAGCCAGGGCAGGAATTTGAACAGTTTTTTGATGTCAAATATTGTATGCACACACAGTTTAGGGGTGAAGCTGCCAGCGGCTCAAGCTGCTTGACACATGTCATGTCATCTATACTATACTGCTACCATCCCATGACATGTGGCCGACATGAGTGAATATTGAAGGTGCACTCACGCAATAGTCTTAAAGTGCACTAAAGTGTTCTCCTACGTGCTTGAATAAGCAGCTTGTGGTAAGACTTTAAGATACTTTAAGGGGATACCACTACCCAGGGTAGAACTCAATTTGTGTGAAAAAGAGTCAACCTGACTGACCATATAATCATATATAGTGAGGGCTACATTACTTGCTTAGAAAACTGCCCAGCAACCACCTGCCTGACCGCTTGCGTGCGGTCGCTTGCGTGCGTGGATGGACGACTTTCTGGCCACCTCTATACGTGGATGCCTCAGTGGACGCTGACTGGAGATCGGGCCACATCGTAACTGAGACAGAGGGAGGAGATTGATGCGGTTTGCCTGCGTAACACTGGAGTGTACTGAGGTCAGGTGAACATGACAGAACATCGAACGGCATGGCTTTTTGCATGGCATCCCTGGACTATAAAATTACCAGAATATATATATATATAGCTACTTTACAGGTATGCACCTGTCATCCCAGCGCCCCTGGTTGCTCATTTACCACAGAAGTTTGATGAAGTTTGTTTTCATGTTTGACTTGTTGGAGCAATCATTCGGGGAGGCGAGGGGATGAGCAAGTGTGGCTAAGTGGTTCTCCTGGAGCCGTCAGTGTCGTCATAGAGCGCAACCTCTTGTTCGGAAAGAGCATCCACGTCCCTCTCCGGGACGTTTTTTCAACGTTTTTCTTCAATGTGAGACCAGAGGGAGTAGATGATTGGGGGGGACCACAGTATAAACAAGGGGTGTAGGTCCCTCTCTCTCTCTCTCTAGGTTCTTCAGCACTTGTCCCATTGGACTTGCTCTAGCACGTTTGTATAATGAGCTTGTGGGACTGCATTTCAGGCTACTATGCAGAGTTTAATCTGGAGCGCCAAGCGCCACGAAAACCGGACGATTCGGCGGAGGAGGCCTTTGCCGCGGTGGTGACGCTTTTCTTGACTGGAGGTTCGGAAATGTTCTTCAGACTCCCCAGGTAGCACCTTCTAGAGCCACGTCATTGTTATTTTGGAAGCTTCCAGATCTTCCATTGATACTTGTGACTTGTGCGAAAAGCCCGGATGGCGTTGATATGAGCTGATGACCTCAAGCTGGTCGTCAGAATAGTGACTAGTGGTTCTACTGTATTAATGGCCCGTTCGCAAAGTGTGTTACATCTAGGGAGATACAGTACCTCACTCGCCGCCCCCCCAAAGAGACGGTCCTGGACTGTCGCGCATGAGCGTAGTGCAGACTCCGAACTTCGAACCAAGGAAAGGCATCAAGGCCTTCATGGATGAAGCCACCAGGGTGGATGTTCCCTGGCACGCAATCAGGACTTGGTCCCAATGGGTCCGGCTCAAGCAGTCTTCAAGGGATTAGGTTTCATGGTTCCATGTTTGCCTCTTTTTGATGGCACACTTCACAAAGCATACCTTTCCAGGAAGGTCCCATGTCCTTTGTCGGGTCCTTTGCTTCGATCGTCTCGTTGCCCCTAAATGACGTCACATATCATTGGCTCAAGGATGCCAATCAAACCTGTGCTGGTTGCTACCGAGTGCTCCCGACAAAGGGCTGAGCGATTCGCTCAGGAGGAGTTCCGGCAGCTTTGGCGGGAGACTGTGGACTCCTTCCAGCGGCAGCGGGAACCGGTGCCGCGGCTGAGGGGACATGGTCCGAAGAGTTGAGGTACAGCCTGGCCTGGAATTTTGCTCAACATGTTGAGCTTGCAGGATATGTAACTGGGACTGTGCCTGGGAGTTGAGTTGAGCTGCAAGAATTAACATCTTTTGAACCTGGCGCTGCTTGTCGGTTCCATGGTGTCCCATGGTCATGTGTCAGGAATGCACGATGGACCATGTTACTGGTTTAATTTGTTTAATAATGTAGGTAGGTGCAGTAGATTTGGATGATATGCACAGGCAGAACCAAAGCTGGCAACGCACATATAAAGACATAACCTACTTCCCTTAGAATCCTACAGAGGCTCACTGGGAACACTGCTGGACGAGTTTCCACCCTCAAAACAAAATCTAGCAAAATTGAGCTCGGGGCGGAAACTCCTCCGCCGGACCAGGAGAAGTTATGTCCTGGAGAGAAAGTGTTACCAAACATCCGTCCTCCTGAAGTATCTGTGGGCCTGAGACCATTTTCTTGCCCTGATCGCCCATGACGTCCCGATCCTGCGGATTCGCAAGGAATTGAAGGAGCACGCTGCGGAGGTGCAGGGGGGCTGTGGCTTGGATGCAAGATCGAGAAACTCTCACACATCAGGGAATACCTACCCTGACAGTGCCTGAGATTACATGAGATTACTCAGTTTTGCTTTATCTCCCCACTATGTCGGCAGAAGAGCGTGAACAGATTAAACAGTTAGCCGTTAGCCTCGTTTGTCCACGGAAACTGAGGATCAAAATGTCTTTGGAAAATAGGTCCAGGCAAGATGCCGCTCTGTACCATCTTTGCCATGGGCTAGCCGGGCATCATTCCTCACCTCAGACATGTTTCCCCTCCCACCTCAGAACTCAAACTTCCAGTTTCAGCTGGCGGTGTGAAGGAATACCAACAATCCCCTCCTCCACCTATTCAAAAGCATGGCCCCCCATTAACAAAATCAGGTCACGGCTGTTCGCGTGCCCGCAAACATACTGTTTTGATGGCAAACCCCCTGTTTTGAAGCCAGACGGCTTCGTTCCGCCAGAGGCTTCGTGCCGTGTGTTCAACCAGGTGATGAACCTGGCCAAAGAACTTCTGCCGAAGGTGCAAGCACAGGAGCCCTTTTTGGGGGTCAGCTTGCAGTACCAAAAGAAAGGGACAGTAGGTGAGTCAATGGCACAAACGCATCGGTATTTCCAGATCAATGCAAATGAGACACGCACATATATATATATATATAGCATTTCCTCTAGAAAATGGGAGGGGTTGTGGTCCCCTAATTCTTTAGCAAACTGGCGCGGGGGTACAACCTGAAAGGTTGTGCCTAACCATTTTCTAGAGGAGAGGTACCTCACTGGAGAATGAACACGAGCCCTCAAGAGTCATTTTCTAGAGCCAGGATATGGGTTTTAGAGAGTCATTTTCTAGAGAGCTACCTGGTGGAAAAAATGAGCACCAGTGAGCATAGCACTCAAGAAAATTGAGAAGTGTCCTGTGGAGTCTTCTAGACCTGAGATTCTAGAGAAAGGAGTGGTGTTCTGTTTGGGGTTGTGCCCCTCCATTTTCTAGAGACCCCTGCTTGCCCGCTGGAAAGTGCCACACAGAAGCCTTGGTGTGAGCAAGGCAGGGCCCCAAGAAAGCAAGACCTGACATTCTATGATTTGTAGAAACCCACAACGGCCAGACTCGAGATTCTAGGACCCGCCTTTCTCAGGACAAGGCTTCTGTGTGGGACTTTTTGCAGCAAACAACCAGGAGTCTCTATTGAGAAAGGAGTGGTGTGCTGTTTGGGGTTGTACCCCTCCTTTTTCTAGAGATCATTTTTCGTTTTACACATTTTGTCACAGATGATCTAGCACTCCATAGCCAGTTGTTGGAACATGTTGGAGACATGTTGGGGGTACGACCTCTGAACCTGTACCCCATCATTTTCTAGTGAAAAAGTTTCTCCAACTAGAAAATGAACAAATTGTTCATCAACATTCTCTAGAGGCAGAGGTGTCAGGAACCCTCATTTCGTAGATGATTCTCTAAAGAATGGGTTGAACGGCCCCTCTGTGCTAATATCAAGGGGGATCACACGCACACACACACACACATATATATATATATACATATCGTATATTATATATCAAGGGGGGTCACACACACACACATATATATATATACATACATATCGTGTATATATATATATATACAGATTTTTAATGAATATCTATATAAACACACACGTGCATATGAGACGGAAACCGGAGGAAGGTGCGGACATGTGCCATTCGGGTGTCTTTCTCAAAAGGCAATCAGTGGAGCTTTGCTTCCTCCCGCGTCAGCATATTTGCGATCTCTAAATTTTGTTCCGTACTTGGGTAGAGGGTAGAGAGCAAGAAAACACATCCATGCCCAAGATTTGAGAAGTCTATGTTTGGATGCATCGCTCGTCGAGCAGATAATTATCCCAGTTTTGTAAATTCAAGACCCATCTCTTTGAACGCAATTACGGTACCATCGGTACCATCAGATAGCCTGTACAGAGCTTCGTTACAGAGCCCTCCATGTTGCTGCAGGCCACATGAAACAAGGACAGACCGAAAAACCATTTGGGACATTCTAGAATGATGGAACCCGAACTACTCCAGAGAGTATATATGTGGGCGGAGCCAGGAGCCGTTGCCCCTTGAACTCCTGCAGCAGCTGAACGCGGCTGTCCAGCGTTTTGAGTCCCGCTACTCTGGTGCCCTGGTGACTTGACTGAAACAGGTGTGAGCGGCCGTGAGGAATACACCAAGAGAGGTGACGGCCTGAGAACGGGAATACGTACTGCTGGCCGTTGAACAATCACAGCTTGGGTTGACACGACTGAGCATTGCACCAGATGTTCCACGACTGAGCATTTGGAGACGAACCGCCCAAACACAACTCTTGGCTTCTAGGTCTCAAGATGTGCAGCGTTGCAGTGGGATCACTTGGAGTT